TTTTATATAGAAATTGCAAGCAAATGTATAAATTAGAATATAAACTAACACTTTCATAGCATAATGAATGAACTTGAAGAACAGGAAACTGAGCTATGTAATACTATTCTAAGGTAACCTTTATAGGAAAAAGTAATTGAAGGAGACATAAAAAAGGAAAGAGATGAATTAAGGCTGTGGAAAATCACCACACTTTTATTAAAAAGATAAATCCAAATAATATGAATTTCCTGCATTATTTTAACACCTTTGTGTATTATCTTGTCCAGGAAAACCTTGTTTTTTTTTGTAATTAATCCAAGGTTGAGTTAGATGAAAATTTCAAGACATTTTACCCCATCCTATTGAAGCAAAGAATAATTAGACTCTATGCTATAATAGCAACCATATTTATAGAAAATAGATGAAAACTGGTTGTTTTTATCAAGAAATTATATCATAAATTGAATCATACTGAACAAATATAATCACCTCTTCAATATTATAATGCATTTGAAATATTTTTATTTCTCATGTTGATAATTTCTGATGTGTTTTGCTAAAATAATAGTGATTAAGATCATTTTGTTCTGTATATATTTTCAAAAACATTTTTTACTGATTATAAATTTAATAATAAAAAAATTTTCCTGGAGAAATACACTATATAGGAATTTTACTTTATTTTACATTATTTTATCAAGTAAAAGTTTTCCCATATCAAAATTTTCAGTTCTAAATTTTCATGAGAAAATTTGATTCATATGTCATTTTTATTTTCTACCCCTAAAATATCTACTTTTATCCAAGTTTCTGAAGAAAAATTTCCTAGCATCCACCTCTGGAATAAAGGTAGGGTTCAAATACTGTGCCACAACACTTCCCTATGCTTGATGTATATATTTTTAACATGACACTTATAATATCACATTGCCCAGTAGGCGATTGTCTCCTTGACATTTAGGACCCTACTTTATAAGTTCTTATTGACCCAATACTTACTATAACATTTGAAATAGTGAGTATTTCTTTCTGCTCGAGCTCTTGATTAATTGCTTCTTCAGAAAGGATGCGGCGGGGGGGGGGTGGAATATTTGGTAATATATCAATATATCACCATAAATACTCATATTCTATTAACCAAGAAAACCAAACTGATATTCAATGGGATAGTTTTTAACTGACAATACACAACCATATGCTCTTACATTACTAGAATGTGTCTTCTCTCAATAGTGTCTATATACCTGTTAGTATCCGTGTGTGTGTGTGTGTATGTGTGTGTGTGTGTGTGTGCATGCGCATGAGAGAGAGAGAGAGAGAGAGAGAGAGAGAGAGAGAGAGAGAGAGAGAGCGAGCAGGTGGGCAAGTGGACTAGAAAGAGGAGAAAAGACAGAGAAGAGATTTGAAATTTAAGATAAATTGTTCAGGGAGCCTGTATCTGCATTTGTGAAACAACTTGATTACCCAATTAGAATGAGTATATCTCACAAAATGTGATTTGAAACCACATTCAACCTCTGATTGTATAAATATAGGTGAGAACAGAAAATAGAAGACAGACTCTCAACACAAACTACCAACTTGAATCAGAAGTTCTAAAACAAGGAGTTGTAAGCCAACATGCCCAAACTCAATGACACAGTCTTCATGCCCTCAGTGCTGACACTGATTGGGATTCCTGGCTTGGAATCTGTGCAGTTCTGGATTGGCATTCCTTTCTGTGCCATGTACATCATCGCTCTGTTTGGGAATTCCCTGCTCCTGGTCATCATCAAATCTGAGTCCAGCCTCCATGAACCTATGTATCTCTTCCTGGCAATGCTTGGAGCCACAGACATTGTTCTCAGTACCTGCATCCTACCAAAAATGCTAGGAATATTCTGGTTCCATTTACCAGAAATATATTTTGATGCCTGTCTCTTGCAGATGTGGCTCATCCATACCTTCCAGTGTATTGAGTCAGGTATTCTGCTGGCCATGGCCCTGGACCGCTACGTGGCAATCTGTGATCCTCTGAGACATGCAAGCATTTTTACTCACCAACTTCTCACACAGATTGGTGTTGGAGTGACACTCAGAGCAGCCCTCCTTGTGGCTCCATGTCTCATCCTCATCAAACACCGGCTGAAATATTACCGGACCACTGTGGTTTCCCATTCTTACTGTGAGCACATGGCCATCGTGAAGTTGGCAGCAGAAGATATTCGAATTAACAAGATCTATGGTTTGTTTGTGGCTTTCAGTGTACTTGGCTTTGATATAATTTTCATCACACTCTCCTACATTCAAATATTTATATCTGTCTTTAGTCTGCCCCAAAAGGAAGCCAGGCTTAAAGCCTTCAACACCTGCATCGCCCATATTTGTGTCTTCTTTGAGTTTTATCTCCTAGCTTTCTTCTCCTTCTTTACACACAGGTTTGGTTTTCATATTCCACCTTACGTTCATATTCTTTTGTCCAACCTTTACTTGCTTGTTCCACCTTTGCTCAATCCTGTTGTTTATGGTGTGAAGACCAAACAGATCCGAGATCAAGTGTTCAAATTTTTCCACTCTAAGGATGCTTCTTGATTTCTCATTGTCATATATTGTTTCCAGTTACAACAACAACACACTGTGAAAAACATTCTTGATAAGAGTCTCTGCAATCTTAAGTGTACTGAAATACAAAATTCTACTTTTGCATTCAAAATAGTAAGGCTCTGACTCCCATTGAAACACTTTCACTTGTTTTGGATAAAGAATTAGTTAAAACACACAAATCTGATCATATCTAGTCCACACATGACATAAAAGTAAAAAATTATGAAAAAAATTGATGCTCAACAAGCTCTTAATGACAGACATTTCTATAAAGTGAAATTAAATATTAATATTTTATCCTATTTAAAAACAGCAATTGTCATTTTTGAGACTACATAAGAAATCCAGTCTAATGTCTTATAATTCTAATGTATATGAAATAAATCTATCATCCATCTCATTTATTATCATATCTCATCATACTAAAATTCTTTTCTGAAAGGTCATTAAGCACAGATTAAGATTGTTAAATTATTCATCAAAATGTAGTCATAATTTCTTCTTTTCCTAAAAATATTTCATTAGCCTACTACAGGGGCATGTATAATAGAGTTCTTAATATAAATTAAATCCAGTAGAGAAATTTGAATGAAAGACAAATGAAAGAAATGTAGAATGATTAGCAATTCACATACTTGTTTTGTGTTAAGATCTTAGAGATAAGTACAACAAGTTTTAAAGAGCAAATGTTATAATTATAGCTCAAAAGAAAAAAATAAGTTATACAAGTTAGATCATATATTTTTAAAATTATGCTCATCATTTTGTTATTTTTGTGTTTCCCTGGAACTAATTTCCAAAATAATTATCACACTTGAATTCCTATATAGAAACTCACAGTAGTGTTTATTATCTGTTATTTTTAAAATTGGTTTTACTATAAATGGTTTTGTGGATTAGTGAACAATAGTTCTTACAGAAACCTTAAATACTAAATTTAAATGTAAAAGTCAGGGTCAGGCCAATAAAGACAACTATATAAAGAGTTTGTAACCATGCTCTAATGATATAGCCAATTGGTGGCAAATGCTAGCACTTAGAATATTTAGAGACTTAGAATCGCACCTTCTCCTTCATTCTTTTTACTACCTCCAGAATAGAATATATTCCCATCATGTTCTTTGATATAAGCTTGACGTGTTCTCATTCTGTTTGGTTTATGAAGTATAATGTCAGACTCTTTAATGGCAGAATGTAGCAGTTTCAGTATATTAACATATTTGGGGTTTGGACTTGATTTTTCACATGGAATTGTGTGGAGTTTTTACCATAAATGCTGCACTGTCCTATAATTACAAAGTTGATCAATGATCTGTATAGTGCCAACAGCCTGAATTTTTCCAATTGAATTTTTTAATAATTTTTCTTTTAAGACATTATTCTCTTCAAGAATTGTAGCCATTTCTGTTACTTTTTTCTCCTCACATTCATTGTGATATGTTCTCTACCTATAGCCCCTGCTTCTCATTCCTATATTGATGATATAACCTTCATTTTATATGATTAGACTCAAGCTTTTTGACGTCTTTCTCAGGATGCCTTAACTGAAGTTTCCTTTTGGGCTCAGTGTTCTTCATAATCCGTGGTAGTCTGTATAATTCAAACCATATTTTATTAAAATGTATCTATAGCTTTGAGGATTATACTGGATATCTAATAATTTAATAGGCATCACATTGTATCATGTATATGGCACTTAAATATTCAACGACTTGGACTGGCTTTGTTCCACTGGTCATTGAGTTGAGGTGGCATCAGTGAGAGAAGAAATTTTGAAAGATGGTCTGAGTAAGGAAACACATTCCATAAAAAACACTTATGTTAATGTTTAATTAAGGGAATACAACTCCCTAGCACAGATATCGACTTGGCAACTATAAATAAACTCAGGAAAAAAACCTTATCTAATTCATCGTAATGTCTCTGACATCTAGTATGGTGCTGACACTGGTATATAGAGAATAAAATTTTATTGAACAAATGCAATAATAAAATTCCATTTATAATCTAATTTTGTCCTTTTACCAACTCTTTAAAATATTTAGTACATGTTAGAGATGATAAACCTGAAAACTGAGATTCATGGGAGGCCTATTCCTCAGCTTGGGGTAGAAATTACAAATATCAAAAAGGAGAAAAGTAGAATGAAACCTGTAATTTGGGATTTCTATTGAAGACATGAGTGAATCTCAAGGTTTTTAATATGTTCTGTTATATAGAGAAAAAATATAGACATAATTTACAAAATATGAGTGTGACTGTGTGTATAGTTGGATTCTCTAGCACTTTGTTTCTGAGATGGCCTTACAGCAGTGATTTCCCAATAGCAATGATACTAAAAATGCCTTCATCATCCTTCTGCCAGAAAATTCTAAGTATCATCACAAGGTAGAACACTCAATTTTAAGGATCTATAGGTCTGCCAAATTCTATTTCAGTTGTCTTGATTTATCATATGTTCTATTTTTCTTGGATTTGAGGTTGTAATCTCATAAACTTTCTTCATGTCTCTATTATTCTCCCACAGCTAGATACAATCTGTCTTGAAGGTAGAAAACAATTTGATTAATCTATGTGTTTGCAATGCTGTAGGACCCAATCATGTAGGTTTCATTGAAACTTCCCAGATCTCGGACCATGAGACCTGTTGAGCCTGCACATCACCAGAGTTTGCTGCAAGGTCTTAACAGCTCTAGTTCTCCCAAATTCCATTGTATCTTCAAACAATATCATAAATCCCATAGACTAATCTTTCTAGCTTTGAAAACTGTCCCCAGTTCTTCAAATGATTTTTATATCTTTCTCTGAAGAATTTAAGAAGATACCACCTTGTAAATTCTAGATTACACTAAATTATTCTCATTTAGAATTCTTACTTTTATTCATGCATTGTTAATACTATTTCTTCCAAACATATTACAAAGTTTTTTTTTTAATATTATTTTTCACTTACACAAAATTCTGTCTAAATACAATAATTAACTGAAACCATGGACTAAAGTTCTGTTTTCCCAAATGTCCAGCATTTAACTTATAACCAAAGAAGTACTGATTATAAGATTCATGATTTTTTTTATATTTCATCTTCATACAAAAACAATTTTAAAAGCAGAAAGAATAAATTGTGTTGACCATGGGAAATATAATTTATCACTTCTCTGTTCCTCAGGAGAATTGCATCATAGTTTTGTCTAACTGCTAGCACTATATTTGTCTCCTTGAAAATTATTTGTTAATTACTGCACTGTTTATAACTACACTATATGAGTAGGTGAATAGACATAAGAAGATGAGAATTAAACTTGCGAGCATGTATTCTCATAGGTAGCTCTGGGATCTAGATAGAGAAATATTTAGAAAAGATGTAAAAGGAGTGTGGGGGAATTGCACATTGTTATAAAGAGTCTGAGCAGAAATCCTTAAAAGAAAATAGTAATTCAATTGCTAGAATTTAATCCAGGACATGAGTACCTCTTGGTTTAATGAGCATTTTTCACCTTTCTTTTCTTCTTTTATCCATAATGAATCTCTTCAGATCTTTCATTAAAACAAGTTAAAAAAAAAAAAAAAGGATGATAAGCAAGGGAAAATATAAGAGAAATTGAGACATTGCCTTATGACTGATAATAAGTTTATGGCAGAGTTAAGTTACAAGTAGCCAAAACAATAATATTAATATTACATACTAAATGTGTCTTGTACATGTTAAGCATTTAGTCACTGAATGTATAAATAAGTTTAAAGGAATGATAGGTTACCTATTTTTTCTAAAAAGAAATGAGAATCATTTTTTCATATACAATTATGCACAATAATAGATATAATAATAGTTGTTCCGGGCTATTGGAATATATTGGCCGCATGGTTGGTGAAGATAGATTAAATCAGAATACTACTATATTAGGCAAAAATAAGCTTTTTTACTACTTCTTAGTGAAGGAGAAGAACACAGTCAAATAACAATGAGGTTATCCATGTAGCATCTGAAGGATGACAAGCATACTGGTCTTGATTATATCGGAAAGATAAGAGAGAGAGAGAGAAGCTGACTTAGGGAGAGACAAGAGACTAGAGAGGGAGAAATCATCAAAAGTAAAACATGACTCTCATATAACTAACACTCTTTCCAATCAAGAATCCTGAGTCACTTTTCCTCTTACTCTTGTTGTCAAAGTGAGTGGTGAAATGGAATTAAGGGCAGGGTTTACCTTCCCAAACATTCTGAGATAGGTATTTCGTACTCTATGGGGCAATAGAAATCAGAAAGATAGGGAAAAAGGTCCCTGCCAATGCTGATGAGAAAAATAAATTTAATTAAAAAACCTTTAAATCTGATTTATTTCTTTTTCATAACGTGGGACTGTTTACAAAGCAGTTTGTTATATGACTTCAGTGGTCAAGTTAGATTTATGGAAAGGCATATTTATTTACTCTTTATAAGTGATCAGCCTAACTATGGGACTGAGCAATATTGCCAGGAAAGGACATCTAAAATAAGAAGAAAGCAAGCCCTGGAGAGGAACATAGTTGTCAATGAAAGTTATGACATCAACAGTGTACAGGGAGTCAGACAAAGGAGCAAAGGAAAGGTATTTGAGACAGAAATAAAAACAGGATAATGTGATTATAGAAACAAAATATGTATTTTGAAGAGAAAATAATGTCGAGCACTACATAGATATCAATTGAGAAGAATCCTTTAAAAGTTCATTGTGTTTAGTTAATAGAGGATCATTTAAATTTTTTTCCAGACAGATGAACTTTGAGTGGTCGATGCAAAAGGCTATTACAGTTTGAAATATACTTAAATTGATTAGAAAAATACAAGTCAAAATGATTATTATCAGGCTTATAAGCTTAAATAAAATGAGAGAGAGAATATTGGCAGGAGATCACTGTTTTTGCTATAACAAATTTGTTAAAACCTGAATAGTTTTCAGTAAGGAAGAAAAAAGTACATTGCAAATGCTTAAAATGTAGTCTTGTAG